TGAGCCACTTGGGATTCACATCACACATTCTTTGGCTTGTTTCTTGGTACATGGCATTGACCTTGCAAACACCTGTGCCACCCAGCCCTAGCAGGAGGCCTGGGCCATGCTGGGAGGCAGGTAGCACACGGCCCATTCAGACCAGAGTCCAGCTGAGCCCTGCTGAGGACATACCTACCTTTCCCTGCTCTAGGATGGCTTGACCCCCCTGCTCCTTGCAGCCAAGATGAGCCACTCGGAGCTGTGCCGCTACCTGCTGCACCGCGGAGCCTCGGTGAACAGCAGAGACCAGCAGGGCAGGTGAGAGCCACCCCATGGAAGGATACTGGGAGGGGCAGACAGGAAAGGATTAAATCTTAGGGGATGGGATGAGGATGCTTTTGGCAAGAGAGAGATGACTCCTGGACACTGACTGAGCAGTGGGACAGTGAGGAGCGGATCCAGCTGGGAGCATCTGGGTTGGGGGCTGGAAATCTGGGTTGTGCATGAAGCAGAAGAAAGCATCTTAAGGCCATGGCCCTTTGCTGTTCAAAGTGCTGCCTGAGAGGGGGGACGATGTGGAGTAGCCTGTGCATACCTCTGGGGGGGCAGTGATTTTCCTGACCTTGGGTGTGCTTGCAGTCTCTCTGTGTCAGCTCGCTGGAGACTGTGGCACACTTGCTCTGGGCCATGCTTGAGAATGGAGCTGCCTTGGAGCTGCTTCTAAAGCAGGACAGTCGTGTCCCCAGGGCAGGGGGGGTTGGACCAGGAGATGGGGCGTGGGGGTCTCTGCAGCAGAGATGGGGCTCAGAGCAGGGCTGCCACAACAAAGAGCAGATGGCTGGAGGGTGACCGGGCCCGTCGCTTACCTAGGACTGCGCTGATGCTGGCCTGTGAGCATGGCAGCGTGGAGACGGTGGAGGTGCTCATCCATGCTGGGGCGCGGGTCACCACGGTGGATGCCATGGGCCACGACGCAATTCACTACAGCACAGCCACAGGCAACGCTCTGATCCAGCACTACCTACAGGATGCCACTCAGCGCCGGTCCTGGGCCAGTGGTAAGGTGCTTGCTGGGCAGTGGCCTCGGTCTTCCCATGCCACCGGGTCCCCTGCCCCCACCTGGTGCCCCCCCTGCACTAGGGTAGAGGTGGGTGAGAGTTAGGGTAGAGGCTCGCCGGTGTCATCACTGTCCCACTGGGTTAAGCCATGTGGGTTAAGCCCTGGAGATTTCTCTAGGGGTCCTTGCCTCACTTCTCTCCCTGCTCCCCTGGAGCGGGGGGTGGTCCCTTCCCAGTGCTGGCACCGGCCCCCCCCCCAGCTGCAGGCAGGAGCTTGGTTCTGGCTTGCATCTGCCATGTGGCTGCTGTGTGCATGGGTGTGCATGTGTGTGTACAAGCATCCCTTGCGGGCCTGGTCCAGTGGCTCCTCTAAGGCCTGATAGTCTCTTTCCTCCACCACTGCCTCCCACAGAAGAGTCTTCGATGGATCAGCTCTCCCAGGTAAAGGGCTTGGCCCCCCCTGCAGGGAGCTCTGTGGGTCTTGAGGCTGGAACTGATACGGCCTCGTAGCTCCAGGGCTGAAGCACACCTGGCAGCCCTGCCACCACCTGGCCCCAGGGCAGAGGGTGTGCGGGCTTCCCTGGGCTGCAGCTATCCTGGGGCAGGACTGAGATTCCTCTGCCACTCGGGGTGGGAGAAGGGGTGTTACGGAGGGGCTGGGGCTGCTCACATGAGAGCCTGCTCTAGCCCCTGCCCCTGGGCAGAGCCATGGCACACTGGGACCCCGCCATGGCCCTCTCCCCTTGGTGTCTTGGCAGACGTCTTCGACCAGCCAGCCTCTGTCCAAGGACAAGAACAGCACCCCGCGGAAGAGGAAGGCCCCCCCACCTCCCCAGTCTGCCCTCAACCAGGTGAGGCTGCCAGGCTCTGCCCACTCTGAGCTCACCTGGCAGCCCCTGGGGAATGGGCCTGAGCCTGACTCAATGTCTCAGCCCACCCCCTCTGCTGGGCAGGGCAGGGCTGGGCTTGGGGTGGGGGGGATGTCCCTGCAAGCTTCCCCCAGCAGCAGGGGCCTGCATGAGATTCCTTGAGATACCCAAGAGCATGCACTTGATGCCAACTGGGCAAGGACCTCTATCTGCATGCGGGGTGGGTGGGTCTGATTCTCTGGCTCTGACTGAGGTTCCAGTTGCAACCTGGATGTCAGCTGGGCATGGGGCCAGTCACAGCTAATTGCTCCATTAAGCCTGGGGAGGGCTAGGTACCCCCTGTGCCACCCTCACAGCCCTGCTTCTGGCCCCCCCAGGAGGACAGGGAGGCCTATGAGGAGATCGTGCGGCTGCGGCAGGAGCGGGCCCAGTTCCTGCAGAAGATCCGGAGCCTGGAGCAACAGCAGGAGAAGCAGAAGCAGAACACAGGCTGGGGAGCAGAGGCTTTGCTGCCACAACTCTGTGACAGCTAGAGGGTGGGGCCAGCTCAGCTCAACAGGAACAGAGAAGCACTGGTGCAGGCTAGCCCACCCACCCTGCAAGGGGGGTGCTTACCAGAGGGGGCCACAGAGCATCTTGGGATGTTGAGGGACTGCAAGATAACCTGAATCAGGAGG